GAAGTGCCCTTCCCAAAACTCAGAGAATGGGGAAATAAGAATGTAAAATTAACATACTGCAGACAGATTATCCCTGAGGACTGTGAGATTAGGTTAGATTAACAAGACTGGAGTTTTGCCAATGACCACCACCCGAAAGTAAACTGCAGAGGTGAATAAACTGCAGAGTGCACAGTGAGGACAGAGCCTGGCCCATCGGAGACCCTCATTGTCTAGGAGGAGGGTGGACTAGTGGACACATCTTTCAGGACCATCTGTGTCTCTCTGTCCTAATTTCATGCTCACTATACAACAGGCTGATTCATTAATCAACTTCCCAGGTACATTAGTATTAGAAGGCATGGCCTGGGTCGCTTTGTTACTAAATAATCTGATTTTCAGGTTTGCATCAGTCCATCACAGGAACCATCTTCAGTTTCCTGTAAGATCTCAGGAGCAGAGACAGGACTATAGTAAACACTCCCTAACAATTCCCCTCTATCTAGTCTCTTATTTGAAATTTAGCCTAGTGACATCTTTCTTGGGTAAATGAATCTACAGTGAAACAAGAGCGAAAGGTCTATCTATACCAGGAGAGCTTTTTTTTAAAGGCAGTTTTCATTGGAATTGTACTGTTATCACACCTGACAGAAATTGTCCATTCTGGTCTCAAATATTAAGAGGAATAAGTCATTCTGAGTGATTCATGCAAGTTTTCTTAATTGAGAGAAATGTGTGTCTCTCTAGTGCAAATAACAGAGATGTTATTTTGAAGTTGCTACCTGTTGTAACCTGGATGCGTTTTCCAAAAAACCGTAAAGAAATTATGATCACTTAACAAGCCCTCATTTTAACAATATGTAAGCTGGTCAGGAGAGTTGTGGCACAGCTAGTGATAGAAGTGGGGCTAGAATTGGTCTTTTATGCCCGTCCCGTTCCAGGCCTTAGTACTTAGCCATGCTGCAGTGCCATAAGTCCTTGAGGTTTTTTTGCTGCAAAGCTTTGTCTTTTGAGGGTAAATTTCATTTTTGAAAACCACCAGAAGTCTTTCAGAAGCCGAATCACAATAAGATGGGTGATCAGATTTCATAATCTGCTGTTGGTCCAAAATGAGCTGGCTTGAGCAAGAATGTTTCCCTTTAGTGTTGTAGCTAATAGCCTATTAATGCATTTCTAAAACTAAACCGAAAAAAGGACAACAGGAAATGATGGAATTAGAATATCCAATTTGCTTCACCTTAATCCACACAGCAGTCTCAGAATAACAATACTAATACTGTCATTACTAGTTGCGATCACTGAAAACAGTTTAAAGTTGTTTAGTTGAATATGCTTTCCTCATTCTGGCCCCTGCTCCCTCGCCCTTTTTTTTTCTGGTTGTACTAAATCTTCATATGTTCCTTGTTGGATCACCTAGCCAATACATACTGTACTCTGTCTTTTAACCTCATTTAGACCTGATTTTCTAAGTACCTGTATATTTAATGCTCTCCCAGTTCTTATGTCAACGTCTCGCTGGTCATTTTGGTCTGAAGCTTGTTCTCTAGTTCCAGGGATGGCAAAATTTTTTTGAAAAGAGCCAGATAGTAAACATTTAGGCTTTGAGGGCCAAACGTGATCCTGTCACGTGTGTGTGTGTGTGTGTGTGTGTGTGTGTGTAACAACCCTTTAAAACCATTCTTAGCTTGAGGACTGTACAAAAATACCTCTGGCTGCAGTGTGCGAACCTCTGCTTTAGTAGTTTCCTCAAGAAAAGCTCATGGAGTCAATATTACAGTTTTGTGGATATAAAATCCTTGGCTCACATATGGATGAGTCACATATATAAAGTTTGACCTATATATTTCGAATATGTAATTGCGTTTACTTCTGGCATAAAACATTGCAGTTCAAGTCTGGTGATACACACTAATTTTATTTTCCTTCCAAGTTACTTGCTGGTTTTGCCTAGATGCCCAAGGGATATTTTTCTTTTTCTTTACAGTCCAGTTGGTGTTGGTCATTCTGGGTTGCTATTCTCAGGTATGTGATGTGTTTTTTCAATATGTATTTTCAAGTATCGTGTTGGGATTTTTTGAGTTTTCTTCTTTCCTTTTTTTTTTTTTTGAATAACAAAAGGCAGATCTTTCTGTATTGATGTTTGAATATTTCCATGATACGTTTTTTTTTAACCTCATATAATTTTTTTCTTTTAAACCATTTTATTTTTTTCCAGCTTTATTGAGGTATAATTAACAAATAAAAGTTGTATATATTTAAGGTGTACCACATGATGTTTTGATACACACATGCATTGTGAAATGACTACCTCAATCAAGCTAATTAACATATCTGTCACCTCACATAGTTACCTTTTGTGTGTGAGTGTTTGTGGTGAGATCACTTAAGATCTACTCTCTTACAAGATTTCAAGTATAAAGTACAATATTATTAACTATAGCCTCGATGCTGATGCTATACATTAGATCCCCAGAACTTAATTCATCTTGCATGATTGAAACTTTGTGCTCTTAAAAGTTTTTTTGATTTATAGTTTTTAGTCTTTGTTTCATTTCCTTGCATTGGTTTAACTAGAAGAACTCCTGGTAATCATATGTTGGATCTTCTTTGATTAAAATAAGCACATACTATTTGCCACTATCTCTCAAATGCTTTATCTCCTCATTTCTTTTTTATTACTAATTCCTTCTGTTGCCTCATTGCTATGTTTTCTTTTTTTTTTTTAATAATTTTATTTATTTATTTATTTTTTCCCCCAAAGCCCCAGTATATAGTTGCATGT